TGTGTTAGGTTTACCGGATGCATGATAAATCCTCTGTTTTGTCTGTCTTTCTGATTTCTTTACAATGATAAAGAACTAATTCAATACCTCTATTCAAGTACACCGATAATGGCACAGAATACTTCAATAACACCATGGATCTATTCCTTATAGAGCATGGCATCATTAAGAGTACTTGGCCTAACACTCCCCAACAAAATGGCATTATGGAACCAAAAAAACAAACTTTTTAGAAGTTGCTCGTGCCCTCTTATTTACTTATAATGTACCAAAGTATTTCTGGGGGGATGCAATTTTAACAGCTACCTATTTGATAAATCGCATGCCTAGTCAGGTCCTTTCCTATTCTACACCCATTGAAAAATTAAAAGAAACTCATTTTGTTATCCACCTTGATACTAACCTACCTCTTAGAATTTTTGGTTGCACTTCTTATGTTCATGCTCGCTCATCCCATAAATTGGAACCCAAAGTTGTTCCTTGCATTTTTCTAGGATATTCCTCAACTCAGAAGGGATATAAGTGCTTTGACCCACACTCTAAACATTGTATGTCAGTCGTAATGCCACCTTTGCTGAACATATTCCATTCTATTCCAAAGCTTCAACTTCAAGGAAGAGGGGGAGTGATTCTTAGCTTTTGAGTAAGAACTCAGCTATTTCTGAAAATTCCGAATTACTTGCAGAATCATTTCCAACATCTGAAAACTCCCAGACACACCCCACAAATACTAGAATTCTTATCCAGCCACTTACCGATTCTAGTATTCAGTCTTCTATGCCAACAACTAAAGTGAAAAGTCTTTTAGATTATAATGAAGGAAAAGCACCGAACAAGACACCATTGACATAAGAAAGAAAGAAATGGTGAAATAGAGAGACTATTATGTTTGAAGCACAACCTAAATCTGAACCAATAGAGGTTCCTGAAGCTGAAAGTGACATAAGAGATAAATCTGGAGGGAAAGAAGTGGCTGAGAATGAAGAATCTGATGAGTTAAACTTGCCTATAGCCATCAGGAAACAACCCAGAACATGCACACAACATCCAATTCAGAAATTTGTAAGCTACCATGCCTTACCTCCTCAATTTTGTGCGTTTGCAACAAACCTAGATGAAGTAAAGATTCCATCTGATATACATGAGACACTTGGTATACCTGAATGGAAGAATGCTGTGACGGAGGAAATGAATGCACAAAAAAAGAATGGTACTCGGGAGATAGTAGAACTTCCAAAAAGGAAAAAGGTTGTAGGGTGCAAGTGGGTTTTAACCCCAAAATATGATTCTATGGGTAAGCTGGACAGGTTAAAAGCTAGATTAGTGGCAAGAGGGTTCACTCAGACTTATGGCTTAGACTACAAAGAAACTTTTGCACCTGTCGCTAAACTTAATACCATCAGAATTCTAATTTCTATTGCCGTAAGTCTTGACTAGTCACTTGATCAACTAGATATTAAGAATGCATTTCTCAATGCAGACTTGAAAGAGGAAGTATTTATGACTTTACCTCCAGGTTTTGATAAGAGGCACAGCAATCATGTATGCAAACTGAAAAAATATCTGTATGGTTTAAAACAATCATCTCGAGCCTAGTTTGATAGATTTTCAAGAGTATTGAGGACTGAAGGATACAAACAAGGGTTATCCAATCGTACCATGTTTGTGAAAGTGAGTAATGGAAAAAGGTGCATACTATAGTGTATGTAGATGATATAATCATCACAGGTGACTATGAAGAGGGAGTACTCAAAATAAAGAAGGCTCTTGGAAGAGTTTGAAGTAAAGGATCTAGGAAAATTGAAATATTTCCTAGCTATGGAGTTTGCAAGGTCACAGCGTGGGATCGATGTGTCTCAAAGAAAATATGTTCTTAACCTGCCGACCGAAACCGGCATGCTGGGGTGTAAACCTATAGAAACACCCATGGTGGTTCAAAAGAAGAAAAAAGAAAAAAAAGGAAAATGCCTCCCGAAGGACAACTTGAAGAAGTAGAAAAGAAGAAAAATAAACCAATAGACAGAGAGATATAAGAGACTAGTAGGAAAATTAATCTATCTCTCTCATACGTGTCCGGATATTGCCTATACAGTGAGTGTAGCAAGCCAATTCATGTGTGATCCTAGGAAGAGGCATATGGAAGCAGTATACAGAATTTTAAAGTACCTAAAGGGAACTCCTGGGAAAGGGTTGTTATTCGCAAAGCGAGGTCTACGATCTATAGAGATTTATATGGATGCAGACTAGGGAGGAACTCACCAAGATAAGAGATCAACATCAGGATACTACTCATTGGTCTAGGGAAATCTAGTTACATGGAAGAGCTAGAAGCAAAGAGTGGTCTCAAAGAGTAGTGCAAGGTTAGAATTAAGGTCACTAGCTCAGGGGATCACGGAAGTACTATGGATAAGGCATGTTATGGATGAAATACATGTCAATATTGATCGTCCATTAAAGCTCTACAGTGATAACAAAACTGCAATTAGTATGGTGCTAAATCCTGTTCAACACGAAAGATCTAAGCATGTGAAAATTGATAGACACTTCATAAGAGAGCAAGTTGAAGAAGGAACTATATGTCTTGTCTATCTACCCACTAAACTTCAAGCAGCAGATGTCCTAACCAAAAGTTTGCACAAACTAGCTTTTGATAGTTGTATAAACAAGTTGGATATGTTTAGCATCTACAATCCAACTTGAGGAGGAGTGTGGTTAGACCCAATATATTTGTTGAAATAGTTTAGGAGAATATCTCAGGTAGTTATTTGATATTATTATAGGATATTTGTATTTGAGTCAATCTCCTTAATTCTCAGAGATTTGATGACATTTCTCTGGTATTTATCCCTGTACTCTTTCTCGACTGGAATATAGAAGTTCAATAAGCCTCATTATCAAGAGGTTTATATCTAAGAATTAGATTATTGGTAGCATATTGATATGAACTGGTGAAATATGGATTGCGTGCCAAATGAAGAGATAAACCACTTGTATAAAACTTTCTTGCAATTTAAGCATGTAAATCTTCCCTACCCCTTATTGGATGCTATTTCTAATGGGTTTATTGCCCTCCTCTTGCCTTGGCTATATTCATTGGGAATAGGATTGTTATCTCTTTGACTTAAAGAAGACAAGCCCTCAACTAAGGGCTGTAACAGCACTTTCTTAGGCTTTGTTTTATCATCAGCCTCTTGCAATTTTTTCATCTCAGCTACGCAATAATGATCAACCTTCAGGCACACACCAATTCCTTTGTCTATGTCTTTAACAAGTGGAACTTAACTCAAGGAAGAGCCATTATATTCTTTATTACAATTACACTTCCTATATCTATTTCCATTCCCGATATATTTTCTCAATCTCAGATCTTGTTTACCAAAGTAACAATACTACAAAGGAGTTCCATCTTTTTGCAGCTCATTTGGAGAAAAATAACAAGCTGAATTAACATTCCCCCCTAAACTACTAGTTCCAGCCATATCTAGCTAAAAAAGGAAAAAAAAAATTAAAACAAACTAAATAAACCTTCAGATTAGAATGAAAGGTAACTATAGAGCTCGAACATTATTAGTCACAATGCAAACCAAACAGGAATAGAACTTTACAAAAGGGAAGGAAATTGCGAGCGAGCAAGACCAGAGCCTAAGTAAGACAAGTGAAAGAAGAGAGAAAGAAACTTGATAGATGCCAATGAGAACACTCTTGAGCAGGCTGACAAGGTAGAGGTGGTATGTTCACGAGTCCACAATAAAGGCACAAAAGCATGTCCATGAGTCCTATGACAAAGGCATAACGGTGCGACTAGGAGTTGTGAAATGGAGAGGAGAGTGGAGATTGAGAGCGATGGGACGGTAGAGTGCATCAAACATCAAATGGAATGGGGAGTATTTTGAAAAATAGAGCTTAGTGTAATTTTGTTTAGAACATTGTTTCATATCCTAGTTGTGTCAGGCGTATCCCAACCATGTTCACCTCATTTGGGCCATATCATGCAAAAAAAAAAAGTGCCGAAGACGAACGTATATACACGAAGCAAGTGTCCATGTTCGACACATATCAAATACAGATATGCTGCCCAAAGTAGCATATCCATACTACATAGGTTTTGATATGGAGCAATTTTAAAGTATTGCTTGACAATTGGAAGGGTTAGATGCTTCGTGAAAGAATACTCTTATTGATGAAGGAACTACTTTTATTGAAGGAGGAAGTAGTTTCCCTACAAGACTTGGAATTTACAAAGTCATACAAGAGCATTATGACATCACAACACAAGTATACTTTGGATTTGTTGAGAGAGATGAGGATGCTTGGTGCCAAACCCTTAGCTACTCCAATGAAGACAGCTACTGAATTGTACTTCAAGGAAAATGGAATATTAGTGAATAAAGAAAGATGTCGAAGACTTGTTTATCTCTTCCATACAAGACTAGTCATTAGTTATATCTTGTTTAGGTAGTTAGTCAAATTGCCAACAACCCTAAGGAAGAACACATGGAGGCCATATATAGAATATTGAGTCACTGCACAACTCGCCATATCGGATACAAATACACCACCCAAAATGGTGTATCAGTGCAACATAGATGCCCACTAAACTGTAATTGAAAAATATAGAGAAAAGAGATAAAAAATATTATTCTAAAAAGATAACTAACAAATTAGCACAAGATGGAGACAAGAGAAGAGGGAATGGTGTATCCCAGGTCCTCATAAAAAAGATTGCTTGTTGCATGCACTTAACATGATTTTAAGACAACGCATAAGCATAATACTATGCACATTTAATACACATGCAACAACTTATTTGAAGCATATGCATTGGCCAAGAGAGTAGCAAGTCATCATTTCACTTTGAGTGGGGTATTTTAGATGACAACTCAGAGGTGGGAAAACAGGATAAAACATAATCATGTACACACATCAGATGGGAGAGAAAGCTTTTAGAAGTAGTTAAAAGAGGTTGAATTAAAAATGGTCTAATAAACATGAACACTCACCAAATGTGGCCATGTCAAAACATTTTCACCCGTGATTGTTTCCACAGATGGTTCTTCAAATGCACATTGTTTAGCTAAAGGTAGCATGGCAGACACTGCAACCAAAACAAAAATACAATGGATCACAAGAAATAGAATATTAATGGACACACATCTAGACATTTGAAGTATATCCACATCAATCTACTTATACCATCTACCAAATTTTACAACTATGTTTACATTCTCATAGCCAAAGAACTAGTGCTAAAATATTTTCCCTACACTATCTGTTTAAAACACTAGAGCCCAAGCCCAACAAATTGAGTTTCACTTGTACATTCTATTTCTATATTATTTTCTCCATTTCTTGCTGCATTCTTAATTACTTATTTAATCTTTTCATGTCTGGTAGGATAAAAGGGGAAGAGACAATATTTTAAAAGCTCCTTTTCTCTAGGTTAGCAAGGTTTCGTTAGGCAGCTAAGCTCTCTCTGTATAGTCATGTTCAACAAAATTTTAGAGGAAAAAAGTCTGTTCAGACATTTCAATGAATCTTGCAGTCATCCCTCCCTTAGTACACACCAAGCCTAACACAACTCATTCAATAGGTGTAGTTAGTCAATTTTCGAGAAAGCCACAAGAACATATAGAAGCTGTATATACGATCTTAATAATTGGAATCAAGTCCAAGTAACTTGGAGAAGAAAGCAGTAATCAGTGACGGCAAGAGGCAATGCTGAGGCAAAATATAAAGCTTTGGATCAAGGGATTTGTGAAGGAATGCGGATACAGAAATTGCTAAAGGAACTAAAGGTGTAGTTTATTGAACCTATAATAGTGTGCTATAATAATTAGCCACTATTGGGATACAAAAAACCTTATGATTGAGCAAAACTCGTAGAAATTGACCGTCATTTCACAAAGGAGAAGATTGAACGGATCCTATACCCCCAAACCAACCAGTTGCAAGAAGCAGCTACCTAGCTATTTTTAAAGGTGCATATTTCCTTTCAACAATCATATACTGCTTTAGTGATATTGAGGGAAGAACTTTAGTGATATTTTTCCTTTCAACCACCTGGAAACCTTGATATTTTTGACATCTGATGGAACCCAAGAATCATCATGTACGAGACAAGAATGTTGAAAGATTGGATGCTTTTGAATGATTTAGAGTTGACAAATCTCACATGGAAGATAAATTTTTCGATCATATGTCTCTACATGCTAGGCAGATCTTCGAAGAAGGAAGTTTTCACTTATATCAGCAGTCAGGAACATTATTTAACAGGATTCTATCACAGTTTTCAGCTCCTTGTTCAAATCATCCAATAAAATACTTCATTTAGTAAATTGATCAGAGGAAGAAACTAAAATAATCAAAATACTAACTTAAAAAAAGAAACAAACAAAAACAAAACAAAAAAGGAAAAGAAAAGGAAGACAAATAGATAAAATTTACAACAGTAAAGAAGCACATCCTATACTTTTAACAAGAGTGAATGAATTCTTCCAGGACAAATAAAAGAAAGTATTGAACTATTCCCTATATGCAGATCATGTTATACCCAATCAAATATCAAAAGTCACACAGATCATATACAGGTAAATATTGTTCAGTTCAAATCTGCAGTAATAAGTACACTATAGATATTGATATCAAAGAAATACGGGGTATCTAGTCACAAGAAGTGAACTTACTATCAATTCCATAGACATTACGCCAGAAGTCAATGCTTTCACTGTATCGGTCAGCATGAGTTACAGGAGCCATGTACAGCTGCAGAGAAGCACACAAAGAAATCAACATTATCTAGAAAAGCATACATTCAATCTAGTAATTATTATTTAGGTCCCAAGCACAGAAGGAAATGTGGTTCAATGTGTAAGAAATGTTCGTCTAGTGGTCAAACGTACCAAAATAGCAGTTGAAACTAGTTGGAGGGCAACTGGCACACCAGTGTTACAAATGCAGATTATGTTTTATCGAATGGTTTAATAGATATCGTCAATTATAAGGATCAATTTTAGTATCATGTTTCAACTTGATTTCATCAGATTTGACTCTCTGATTTCTTCTATCCATCAAAACATCAAGTGAAAACATTATCTCTCCAGCTTTTCCTGTCCTCCATTTTCTTTCATCCCAACATTTCTCCCCATCCAAACAAACCATTAATGCGCTTTATTTTTTTTCCTTTCCTCTTCTTTTGATTGTAAGGCATTTATTTAAAAAAAAAAAAAAGTGATTCCTTTACTTCCTTTTTGAGAGCTGAAACGGACTTAACAAGGCTCTACATATACCACTCCTCTTTCTCCATCACAAGTTCAAAACCTGGAGTGCCCAAAACCGCTGAGTGATAGGATGGTTAGTGTTGAAGATCAAGATGCTAATGCCCTAGTCTTCTTAGGCCTTGCAACATATACCTAGCCCATTATGGGCTCTCCTATTTTCGGTGCCTACTGCAGATTAGTCTATTTTATTTTTGAAAAGGAATGTACCAATCCCTAGTTGGAAAACTTGTATATCTTAACTACACTAGACCAGACATTTCATTATCAATTAGTGTGGTGAGTCAATTTATGCACCAACCTGACGATGAGATGATGCCCTTGTATTCTTGGGCATTGTCAATTAAACCTAGCCAATTATGGGCTCTCCTATTTTCGGCACCTACTGTAGATTAGTCTGTTTTAATTTTTAAATTACCATTTCCATTTTTTCTCTGTTTTAATAATATTATTTGTGACAGAATCTGTTTTGATCTTATCTGAAATTAAATAAGTTGATTTACCTTGGATTACTAAGCTAGGGAAGGCGGACTTGTTGCCATCACTCTAAGTTGCCGGCTAGATGAATAAAAAATTTATCACTCTGAACAGAATTCTTCAGTTAGTCAACTCCATGGAAAAGAACATTGGCGAAACCTATATGTTCTATGTTATAGCAATTGAGATTGCAACAAGTTAAATATAGGGATGGGGATAGCAAGATCCACCAAACGCATATTTTTAACACAAAAGGAAATAGAGATCGGATCTCCTAACTGATAAAGGATGCTTGGGTGCTAGCCAACAGACTTACCTATGGAGATAGATTATAAAACCATGTATATAGGAGAAAGTCCTCTAGTTAACAGTGAGAGCTGGCAAAGGTTAGTTAGCAAGCTTTTTTATTTGCATTCGGCCAGACATCAGCTTTGCAATAAATTTCATCAATCAATACATGAATAAACCATGCAAAGTTCAATTGGAAGCTGCTCACAGAATTTTGAGGTACCACAATTTGGCTATGGGGAAAGGAATACCTTAAAAAAGAATTGACGGAAACTATGCTGGATCCATTACTGATCAAAGATCAACTAGTTACCGTATATACGTTTAACCTATTAACATAGAGAAGCAAAAATACAACCTGTAGACTTGCTTGTATGAGTGCTTTAGCATAATATCAAGCTGTCTCTCAAATTTGTCAAAGAATATAGCTGAAGGAACTTCTAAGGGAATTAAAAGTCACATATGAAGGCAAATAAAACTTTTGTGATAATATGGCAGCAACCAGCCCAGAAAAGAATCCTTTCTAGCATGACAGAACTAAGGAACTTTCAAAGAACATATACTAACCGAAGTTACCAACACAGAATTGAAGAACAAGGAAGCAAGCTGGGGATGATTAGCATCTCCCCAACTTGAGAGTGTTGGAACATGGTGCTGAATCTCCAATAAATGTGGAGATTTGAAATCAATAAATAGACGATTTGAAAAAATTTCCAGATCTCAACCTATTTATTTCAGATCAAATCCTCCCGGATTATTATTCTTCTGATAGTCCACTTCTTTTTAATGTGATTTGCTTTCTTTCCTTTCCTGTTCTTTAGGCTTAGTCATTTACTAAAGAGATACACATGAATTAGACTTGTAGAATTACAAAGGAAAAGTATGTCTTATTGTTTATTGCAGCAATTGGCTATAAAAACTTGCATGTGTTGATCAAAATAGTGTATACAAATATATAAAAGAGAGGGCCTGATCATATCTCCAAGAATCATGGAGATTAAATCAGATTTGAATATCGCACGCTATCACCAAATAAATACCCAATATCCTCCTCAATTATCTACCCAATATTCTCTCATACAAAAATATATACAATAAATATTAGGTCTAACCACATTCCCCCTTATGTTCAATTATAAATGGTAATCATATCTAACTTGCTCATACAACTATTAAATGTTGGTTTCTGTAGTCCCTTGGTTAGCACATTTGTAGCTTGGAGTCTAGTTGGAAGGTAGAAAGACACAAGATTCCTTCTTCAACCTTTTCCCTTATGAAGCGTCTATCAATTTCTACATGTTTGGATCTTTCATGGTGAACTGGATTTAATGCCATGCTGATTGCAGCTTTGTTATCACAGTAAAGCTTCAATGGAGGGTCAATTAGGACGCGTATTTCATCCATGAAACATCTTGCCCATAGTACTTCCATGATGCCCTAAGCCAATGCTCTCAATTTTGATTCTGCACTACCCTTTAAGACTACTCTCTGTTATTGACTTTTCCAAGTAACCAAATTGCCCCACAGGAATGAGCAGTATCCTAATGCCAACCTTCTATCCTGATATGTTCCTCCTTAGCCTGCATTTGTATAGATTTCCATAGACCATAGGTTTTGTTTCTTGAATAATAACCCCCTTCCAGGTGTTCTGTTATGTAATTGTAATATTGAAAAGTTAGTTATTGTTAGTTAAGGTAAATAACCCTTGGGTAGTTATAAGGATTAGGAGCCTATAAATACTATAGATACCTTTGTCATCCTTATGCTTTTGCCTATTTCAATAGATTAATCATATTACCAACAATCTCTCTTCCCTATTCTTTTCTTCTCTCTTTCCCTCTTATCTCATTGTTCCTTCTCTCTTTCCTCTCCTTCTCTCTCATTTCCATATTATTCCTATATATCAATGGTATCAAAGCTAGTCATCTTGGCCATGGCACACCATTCATTCCAATATAAGGATGACCACCAAATGTGGCTTCGTCAGCAAGGGAGTGTGAAAGAATTTAATGAATTCTTTAATAGGCACACCAACAGGCTAAAATTGCAAGAAAAATATTTGAATTCTGTGTATGTGGCTGGACTCAAGCCAAAACTTGTAGAACCAGTGCGTCTCTTCAAACCAAAAACAATGCAAGAAGCTAGAAGTCTTGCAAGAATGCAAGAAATCATGCTAACATCTCAGGCAGAAAAGGAAAAGAAGGCAATGACACTTCAAGATATTTATGGGTCAAGAAATTTTGGAAAAGAATGAAAGGCAAGACAATTTGGCAATGGATGATGGGTTATTCTCATCATCCCCACCAAAAAAATGGAAGGATATAGCTCAAGTAGTGATACAGATCAAGATGTAGGGGAGAATGACAAGTAGGCCTTTGATTCTTTTCAACACAACTTGCAGTAGACAACTCAAACAGTGTTGAATCCTCAGCTCCTTCAAGTTGTGGGATAGCATGATGAATATCAACAGTCAGTAAGAAGGGTGGCATTACCATTTGTGATAGGCCTTTCAGTGCCTGTTTCTTTTTGTCTTTTGCCAATTATTTCACCACTACCGTCGATTCCTACCCGTTTCCTTGCCAATATCAAAGTTTGTTGGTTCTTTACTATTGCCGTTGTTGTATTGGGTTTCATCATCACTTTCTATTTCTGCTTCTTTGTCATCACTAAGTTCTATTTTTTCACATATGGGTCTTGTTTGCGGGTCACCATGTGTCTCTACTCCATCATCACTGTTGCTGTCCAATGCTCATTCATGGGTTCCAAGGGTGAAAGCAAGATTTGATGTTCATTCTGTGTATGTTTGGCCTTCATTGTTTGCTTCTTTTCCTCTATTGCTGTTGGGTTTTCATGGGCATGGGGTTTTTCTTTGAGTAAATCAGATAAACTCCTTTAACTTGACTGTGACAAATGTGAAGCATTTCCCCTCCTCAAAGTCCAAGGGGATACGTGAAAGAATTCTCTACTGTGAAGTTCTCTGCTGCTTTTACTAAGATGCACACATCACTAGTTCAATTCATAGACATTGGATAGGTGGAAAAAGTAGTGGGACAGCTAGCACATCCCTCTGTGAAGTTTCATTGGATTTCTTTGTGAATCTGCTCTCGTGGAAGCATGGGTCAAACACAGTTGTATTCCATATTAAATGAATATAGTAGTTTCAGTCTTAATGGGTGCCAGCTATCATCCACTATCAAGATATGGACCCAACAGTCAAATACCAAGGCCAATATTATATGCATAAGCCTATTAACGAAGGAAGTTCTTTGCTGGGCTTTAATCATTCAATTACTCCATACCCATTTAATTGTTTTTCTGTGGTATATAGGGGAATTGATTAAAATGCTGTCAGGATCTGGTCTGAACGAGTTCCTTCACTTTATTCAAGCACTAAACAGTGAACTGAATAGTAAACAGTGAAGAGAACAGTGAACAATAGCAGCCAATCATATTATTGCTCTCTTTTCAATATTTCAATAGAAAAATACCGTCAAATTGCTGTACATGACCTTTGGGGGCAAAAGTCTTTTGGCAAGGAAGTATTGTTATGTAAATGTAATATTGAAAAGTTAGTTATTGTTAGTTAATTAGAGTTAGTTAAGGGAAATAACCCTTAGGTAGTTACAAGGATTAAGAGCCTATAAACACTTAAGATACCTTTGTAATCCTTATGATTTTGGCTATTCCACTGAATTGATCATATTACCCATAATCTCTCGTCTCTCTTTCTCTCTTCTCTGTTCTATTCTTCTCTCTTTCCCTCTTATCTCTCTGTTCCTTCTTGTTCCTCTCTTTCTCTCCCCTTTCCATATTATTCTAATGTATCATGTTCCCTTCAAATACTTCAAAATTCTATATACAACTTCTATGTGCCTCCTTCTAGGATCACACGTATACTACATTACAACACGTACTACAAAGGAGAGAGAGATTAATTTCCCTACTAATCTTTGATATCTTTCTTTGTCCATTGGCTCATTTTCTTCTTCATAAAACTCCTCTTCTTATGATTCATCTCCTTCCTTCTCGATATCTCTCTTTTGTTCTATTTTCTTCTTTTTTGCCATAATGGATATGCCTATACCTCTACACCCTAACATGCCTATCTCAATTAATAAGCCCAGAATATACTTTCTTTGGACATACAGATTCCACATTGTGATCTTGCAACTTCCATACCTAGGAAATATTTCAAGTTGCCAAGATACTTAACTTCAAATTCCTTTCGAGGAGCCTTTTTTATTCTAGTAACTTCCTCTACATGATCACTTGTGATGAGTATATCATCAACATGAGTATGCAACTCTTTCCATCTTCAAACTTCACAAACATAGCATGACCAAGTAACCCCTGCTTATACCCTTCAACTCTCAATATTTGTGAGAATTTATTAAACCAAGCCCAAGGTGATTGTTTTAAACCAAACTAAGATTTCTTAAATTTACACACTTTTGTGATTGCTTGTATCAAAACCTAGGGGCAATGTCATGGAAACTTTTAGATCACCATTTAAGAATGCATTTTTTATATCCAGCTAGTGCAATGGCCAATCGATATTTACACCAACAAAAATGAAAATTCTGATGGTGTTAAGCTTAGCTATAGGTGCAAATGTTTCTTTGTCTACGCCATAAGTTTGAGTAAAACCCCTTGCTAATAAACATGCTTTTAATCTATCCAACTTACCTGCAAAATCATATTAAGGGGTAAAAACCTACTAGCTCTATTATCTCCCAAGTACCATTCTTTTTCAAAGCATTCATTTCCTCCATCACAACATTCTTCCATTCTGGTATACTAAGTGCCTCGTATACACCATTAGGAATCTTCACCTTGTCAAGGATAGCTACAAAAGCACAAAATTAAGGATATAAAGCATGATAACTTACAAACTTTTGAATAGGATGCTGTGTGCAAGTTCTAGGCTGCTTTCTAAGAGCTATAGGCAAGTCCATATCATCAACCTTTTCATCCTTAGTAGGAAGTTATCTCTCCCCCCACTCTCGAGTCTAGAGGTTCAAATTTTGGTTGTGCTTCAGGCATAATAGTCTCTATTCTATCACCTTTCTAGAAATTGAAACACATGTTCATTCTCAACCTACTCTTTAAAGAGTATAGCATCATTCCTACTTGACCATTCTACTTCCATCATTAAATCCAGCAAGGCCAAATGGTCGTTAGACCCCACCAAAATGCAATGATATTGCGTTCTCCTTGTTGTAGCATCCAAGCCTTTGTTTCAAGATTGTACAATCTTGCCAAGTGCTTCCTATCAGAGTATGAATCTAATAAAGCTCATGATTTTACTAAGACATATAAGAGGAAATCAAGGAAGACAATGAGCTTAGAAGACAACATTATTGTTGGTTCAGATGTTTGCCCCTCAAATCCTAGTTATGAGGAAAAAGTAATTGATGGCCTAGTGATGTGTTAAGAGTCCTAGTGATGGTTAAGGGTCTTCTAGGAGTAATGGCTGTGTTAAAGTTACCTTTTGGTCTTTAAATCTTCCTCTTTGCCAAGAGAGAGGGTTGTGGAGTATTTTGAAAATTGTGAGTGGTGAGGAGAGCTCTGGCCTCTCGAATGCCAAATTGGGGTGGAGGAAGGTATCTTTCTTCATCGTTTGTTCATGTGTAACTTATGTTTTTGTTGCTGTACTAGGCTGTATTTTGTGTTGTTTCATGTACTTTGTACTTTTAGTTCCTTAATTTGCTTGTAATACAACTCCATTATTCTATTTCGTCCCATTTTCTATGCATTTTTACTTGTTTTAAGTTTATTAGCATAGAGGGTTCCATCAAAATCTCATACAGCCTTCCAAATTTCATGGGCTAGGGGAAGAAACATGAGACTTCACTGAATTTCAGGAACCATTGCGTTTATGAGCCACGATGATACCAACGTGTTATCTGTGTTCCATCACTGAGCCTCTTGCATCTTGGATTCATCAAGGACCTTTGATGAGCCATCAATATAACCCATCTTCCCCTTGCCTCCAATTGCTAGCTTCGTAGCTTGTGCCAACATACAGTAGTTTGCTCCACTGAGCTTGATAGTGACAATATGCACCGGTGACCCTTTGTGGTTGACAATCAACCTAAAGGGACCACTTTTCCTGCTTAGGTCAATTTTTGAGGACCCATCACTCTTCAACATTGGAAAAGTGTGATTAGGGTTCAACTCTTTTCCAGTGCTCTCAATTTTGGAATTTTCTACATATAGCCGTGCTCTAATACCATGCAGCAATTAGCTATGAAAACTTCCTTGTGTTGATCAAAATAGTGTATACAGATATACACAAGGGGCTGATCATATCTCCAAGAATCATGGAGATTAAATCAGATTTGAATACCGCAAGCTATCGCCTAAACAAATACCCAATATTCTCCTCATTATCTACCCGATATTCTCTCACAGAAAAATATATACAATAAATATTTACAATAAATAATAAGTCTAACAACACTTATTTCTTAACCAAAAGAAATATATTGATGGTGAGAAACAAGGAACAAACATAAAATTATGTCTACGTCGAACATATCTGTTAATAATAACCAAAAAATAAGGAGGTGAGTAGAGAGACATATAAAAAAAAAAATTCTAAGAGCAAATAATCCTGTCATCTGCAACACCTACAACAACGATTTCTAGCAGCTGTTGATTTTATTTTACAGGTTTATATATCCCAATTTGAGTTGTTGAGGTCTATATAATCATTGAAATATCTCATATCAAAGCTTCTTTCTTTATTCCTAGCTTCCCCAAACAAACATGACTTTGAAGTAAATTGAAAAGGGAAGTTTGGATGGCAACCATTCAGATGAAATAAACAAGCAAACTAGCAATTTTGGGTAAACAATATGCATCAAAACATCTGCATAAAAAAAAAATGATGTTACCTTCGCATCTGAAGGAAGAATAAGACCTCCAGGTTTGAGCCAGCGATCCCTAGCTGTGATAACACTTCCAAGCATGCTCTACAATGAAAAAAAATGTGGTTATTCAAGTAGTTAATAAATATTAATTTGAAAACAGTCAAACATAATCAAATGGTATTAGGATGGGGGATTTGTTAACATAATCACAGATCATGTGGCTGTACTTTAGGAAGTTTGCCCGCCTACTTTTGTGTCCATGAAATCAGCTAAGATTAATTATTTCTCAGTCATACACTTTTATTCTAATAGGGTTAATCTTTTAAAGACATCCTAGAGACATCAAGCCTACCCAACTAGTCAAGATCGTTGGAGATCTTGTTAATCTCACAAGAAAATCAAATCAAGGATTATCTAGGAAATCTACAATCTTATTATATTATGAAAGAAGAAATCATAAAATGAATAAACAATTCATAAGTAATAATCTGATATGCAAAATAAAATAAAATAAAATAAAATAAACAGAAAAAACAGCCAATAATAACCTATCACCAGCATTGCCACAATCACATATATTGGAATATTGAACGGCCCAATGGTTGACACATTGTGACATGCTTTTTCTTATAGTGATATATAGGATTTTGACCAGCCCAATGGTGACATATTGTGACTAAGGAATGTCAATTGGCCTAGAAACCCAATCTACAATTCCTTCAATACTCTAGACAGCCAAGTACCTTCACAGATTCCCATTGCTAGAGCCATAAATTCTACTTCAGCACTACTATGTGCTACAACTAGCTTCTTACTCCTACAAGCCATGAGAATGACCTAGGCATAATTGTAATAACCAATAGTATACCATATATCCTGCCTCGTCACCACCTGTGTGCACCTTAGCATCCTTATGAATCCCTTTCTACAAGTAGAGATCCTTTCCAGAAGTGAGTTTAGGTGCCTCAATATTCTATAAGCTACTTTGAAATGCCCTTCAATTGACTAACTACACCCATAGGCCTTGTTTGGTACATGGGACTAAAAGCTTCAGCTTGGAACTAGGATTGAGCAATCCCAACTTTTCATGTTTGGTATGAAGCACTGGCAAATTTAATACCAATGCCAATCCCACCTATATGGGATTTCTCAACACCACCACCCCCCATGATATTGGAGAATTAGTTATAGGATTAAACATTTTCAAACCAAACAACCCTTTACTCTTCTCCCTTCCCCCCTTAGTCTTTCCCACCATCCATCCATCCCCTTCCTCCTCTATCGGCATCATCTTTTGCCAATGGTGATATCTTCCACTCATGGCGATGGTGTTCCTCTTGCATCTCCATCTTCCGAACAACAAGGGTAAGAGCGATGGCAAGGCGACCAAATTTGGAGCACTCAACCTTTCCAACGATGATGACAATGTTGAGGAAAGAAGTTTTACTTGCTCGAGAAAAGTTTTATTGCCCATAAGGATTGTTCTATGATACTTGATTGATGATAGAGGAGAAAGGACCATCATAGAGTTGGAGTGTCCCAACTATAGCAGACTCTTGTGCTCAATACAAGCTGTCATGGCATTCAAGAATTGATTTTGTTGAGTTTCAAAATCTGGGCAAGAGAGAAAGAGATATGTACATAGAGAGAGAGAGAAGGAAGGTATTATACGGACATGATGAGGATAGAAGGAAGGAAGAGCAAATCTTTTTTTTTTTTTTGGGTTGCTGGGCAGTCATGGAGAATGTAAGATGAGGACAATCATGTCTTTTACTCTTTCTTTTGTTTGAATGGAGCCTAGCTTTTTTTTTTTTATCCCATCACATACCAAATATGATTTCAAAAATTACTCCCATGCCCATTATCATTCCCAATGCCTTAAAATCTAGTGCTTCGCATCAAAGAGGGCTAGGGAATTAGAGATCAATCTTGTATCAAAAAGGTATGTCATTCATCTCATTAACCTTGATACATCCCAATATGAACTAGTACATAATTCTCCATTAGATCCAATTTGTAATATGATAGAACCATCAAGAACAAAAAGCAAATGGGAAGAAAATAATTGAGTATCCTCTGTTACGTTAAGGAAAATGTAGAGAATACAATCATTAATCTTGACTCACTCACTAGTGTTTACCTCCTCCTCACAAAAGAGAAATAAGAACTCCACAAAATAAGCCCTCAAAGAACCTAGTTCTTGAGAGATCAAGCCATCTCTTCTAAGCTAATACTACAACTGTGGTTAGACCATGTAATTATTAGATAATTATGTGTAAATATTCCTTTTAATATTCTTTATCCTAGGAAATTAGATAGAATCTGTCTTTAATTAGATATTACCTTTATTCTAGCTACTGACCGATACTAGTCCCTTATTTTTTGGAGAGATTATTGCTCCTATTCCTGTATATATGTACTCGGCTCCCGTTTGATGAATATAATGAGAAGCAAATTGCTCATTTACTACATGGTATCAGAGCCGACTGCTTCTCTAGACATTTTCGACACCGAGCATGAGTCAGAAAGCATCGTAGACGAGTTGTACCCCAGTCGCCCGTCTTCACCGATGACGCAGAGTGATAAGTCCTCGATGTATGATTCGAATAAGGTTGGTGGTCCCTCTGGGTTGACTGCTAACCACGATTGATCTTTGATGCAAATCGTGACTGTGAAGCTAAAGGGCAACAACTATCGCACATGGGCAGAGGTAAGATGGGTCTTCTAGATGGCTCGTCCAGAATCCCAGATGAAACCAAACCCGATGAAAGGCAACGGTGGTGTACCAATGATTCTCTGGTCTCATCGTGGCTCATTAATGCGATGACACCTGAAGTCCAGCAGAGTTTTATGTTCTTACCTTCTGTGCATGAGATATGGGTGGCTGTGTGAGACTCTTATTCAGATGGAAAAGACTTAGCACGCCTTTATGAACTCAAAACAAAGACATGGACGGTTCAACAAGGTGAACGAGATGTTACTGTATTCTAGTTCGAGCTCACTGCATTGTGGCAAGAACTCGATCTAATGACTGAGGTGGAGTGGTCAAATATTGCTGATGCAACTCATTATAAGGGGCATACTCATGAGACTTGTTGGGAATTGCATGGGAAGCCAACAGATTGGAAGCCTAGAAGGGGAAAGATGCGAGGATATTAGACTTCTCATGACACTCTACAAGAGAAGACTGACTCAAATTCATTACCTCTGATAAATAAAGAACAGCTAGGTAAGTTAATTGAAATGCTTGATGTGATTCAAAAGGCTGAACCGAATCAAAAGCAAGGTCACACTGCATCAATAGCGCACAAAGGTAACTGTCCTTTACTTACTACTTCTAGTAATTTCAAGTGGATTGTTGATACTGGAGCCACAGATCACATGACATCAGATTCTAAGTTATTTAGTTCCTATACACCTTGTGCTAGGCATGAAACTGTCAGTACTGCTAATGGGTATGCCTCATCTATAGTAGGTAAAGGGAATGTTATTATTTCTGATGTCATGAAATTAGAAGACGTACTTCATGTACCTTACCTAGCTTACAACTTATTGTCCATTAGTAGATTGACAAAACAAGCTCAGTATTGGGCTCATTTTTGTGCTACCCATTATATTTTTCAAGACCTCTCATCAGGGAAGATGATTGGCAATGCTAAGGAGCATAATGGCCTCTATTATCTTGATGAATCAACCGCGAGTAATCTTTGGTCTAGAATCCGGTGCAATATTGCATATACCTCTGAGAATAAGGACTTTAACAATCTTATGTTATGGCATAGGAGAATGGGTCATCCAAACTTTCAATATTTATGTTATTTGTTTCCTGAATTTCATAAGTTGTCTTCCTTTCAGTGTACTGATTGTGAACTTGCTAAACATCAAAGATCTAGTTACAAATCTTCTAAATATAAATCTTGTCGTCCTTTTTCCATTATTCATAGTGATGTGTGGAGCCCAGCTCGTGTTCCTAATCGTACTCATGCCAAATGGTTTGTTACCTTCATTGACGACCGCACTAGATTATGTTGGGTTTACTTCTTACACGATAAATCTGGTGTTTCCACTATTTTCTCTGAATTTTATACCATGAGCAAAACTCAATTTGACACCACAATCCAAGTACTTCATACAGATAATGGAACTGAATATTGCAATAAGTCTATGCATCTTTTCTTAAAAACCCATGGCATCATTCATAAGAGTACATGTCCCAACACCCCACAACAAAATGGTATTGCTAAACGAAAAAATAGACACATATTGAAAGTTGCTTGTGCTATCATGTTTACACATAATGTCCTTAAATATTTCTGGGGTGATGCAATACTCATTGCAAATTACTTGATAAATCGCATACCTAGCCGGGTCTTGTCTCATGTTACCCCACTTGATAAGTTGAAAGAATCTTACTCTATCCCTCACCTTGAAACTCATATTTCTCTAAAAATCTTTGGTTGTACAACGTTTGTCCACTCTCATCATTCCCACAAATTGGATCCAAAAGCTGTCAAATGCATTTTCCTTAGTTATTCCTCCACTCAAAAAGGGTATAAATGTTTTGATCCCTCATCCAAGAAATTATATATCAGCCGCGATGTCACATTCTTCGAATCTGTTCCTTTTTTCCCAAATCCTTCAATTCAAGGGGAGAGAGGGAGTGAATTTCAATATTTGGGGAGTTAGGAAAACCAAGAAAATATTTTCGAACTGTCAGAACTGCCTGACTTGCTTGAACTTATTCCAGACCAGCCAGAACAACCTCAAAACTGTTCTGAACCTCTTGATTCAAACATACTTACGCCTGAAACTCGAACTTCTAGGCCAGAAACTTAAGTGAAAAGTCCTTTGAAGAATAACAGTAATGCAGGTACAGCACCAGAAAAAGAACTCATAACTTGCTCCAGGAAAAAGAGGTGAGATGTACAAGCTGTCATGCCAATAGCACTACCAAATTCAGAACTGATAAAGGTCCCTGAAGGTGAGATTATGGAAAATAACGAACCCGAAGTGAAAGGTATAGCTGAAGAGAAGGAGATAGATGATCTAGATCTACCTATTGCTCTTAGAAAGCAACCGAGATCATGTACTCAGCACCCTAT